TCTTTGGCTATAAGGGTAAAAGCACATCAAAGATATGTAATATCTCATAAAAATAATCATCTGAAATTTTAAAATTAAATCAATCGGAAGAGGGTACATCAAAAATATAGAATATCTCATTCATATGCAAAGTTGAAAATTTATCAGTCAAATTCTTCTGCAACTCATGGCAATTCATAATTCATCCAGTATCTTAAACAAAAAATAAATGCTTCAATCATCAAACTTTTTGTTTATATAAATGATACCTACGCCCAGTGGATCTTGACAATCATCGATTTCCCATTTGTCTGTGCTGCATGTTATGCCTACGTTCTAAATGCGATGAATACTACTAGAGAGCTGAGATTCAATATCTTTCACCCCCCTTGGACTAAAAAGAAAAACTGAATAGGACTCCTGATAATTAAAAAGTTTTCTTTGAAATCCCATCCCTTTTCTTTACAAATGACTTTATGAAAGCTGATATGCCTATCCGTGTGATGCTCTGGATTGTGTCGTCAATAATTTGTTTTCACCCCGCCTCATTCAAGGAGAAATATGATTCCTAAGAAGAAACTAAATTATTTATCAACTTTCATGGTGATGTGATTTTCAAAATGTGTTCTTGGATTAATTCGAACTTTATCCAGCTACGTATTCTTTGTGGCATTTTTTTTTTTTTTTTTCATAAAGCATTTATTTCTTTAATTTTTATTGATCAATAAATAAAAAAACACTCATGTGAATAAACAAATATAATAGATTATGACTTTAAATTTTTTCATTGTTTAACAGATATGTTTATTTTTACATTTCAGAAACTCATTTACTGTTAAAAAAAAAATTCTTGAAATTTTTATTTTCAGTGAATTGATTGTTATTGATTGGTATAAAAAATTTTTAGAAAAATTATTTTCATATTTATTGTTTTATGTGTTACAGTTTCTCTGATTTATTGATTAGTAGAAGTTATATTTTTGTTTTGCTATAGTGTTTAGGGTTAAGATAAAATGCAATTTAAAAAAATTTTAAAAATTTTCTCTTCTAAATGTAACTACAATAATTAATGAAATTAAATTTTAATATATGGATGAAATTGCGGTGAGGCGGAAATTATAAATTACATCAAGAAATATTAAAACTAATGCAAATAATTTGGAAAAATGAATAAAGTACTTGTTTTTAGAATTTGAATTGAAGAACAACCAGACATTAATGCTTGAGTCCAACGTTAAATTTTCAGGATATTTGGATCCTGAGGAATCAGTCAGTACTCAGAGCAACCTCCCCTGCCATCAGTAACAGCAGTTATTCTCCTGGGCATCGACTCGAACAGAGATTGGATAGCATGGACGGGTTCAGCACTCAATGCAGTTTCAACAATATGCCACAATTCGTCATCCGTAGCAGAGTTGGACAAAAATGTTATCGATTACATTTTTCGATTACAGTAATCAATTACTTGTAATCATGATTACAAGATAACATAATTTTGATTACAACTGTAAACGTGATTACAACAAACAATTACAGTAATCAATTACTTGTAATCGTGATTAAAACTTTGATTACAGCTGTAATCGTGATTACAATAGTCGATTACAGTAATCAATTGCTTGTAATCGTGATTACAACTTTTGAAAATTTTGATTACAGCTGTAATCATGATTACAATATTGATTACAGTAATCAATATCTTGTAATCAAGATTACAAGTAATTACGATTACAAGTAATCACAACAAAAACGATTACGGGTAATTTTTATTACAAGTAATCAAATATATGATTGCATGTAATCTTGATTACAAGTAATTGTGATTACTTGTAATCATATTACACGATTACAAGTGATTACAATTGCAGACTATATACAAATACATTATGTAAGTATGTATAGGGATACATATTTTTATGTACATAGAATGTACGCACGCATGTACGTACAATTTCAGATTCGTATATATACAAATACAATGAATACACAAACGTTGTTTATAAGTACAATATACATAATTATATTGAAATATACATAATACAATACGTATATGCTTAATACACATAACTATATATTTATGTACATGTACGCATGTATGTTAGTTTGCATGCGAATGCAATATTTTGTATGATTGTATACATAGACAACATATGTATAAAAGTACGTGAAACAAATTTCCATTCGTATGCATGAATGTATGTACGCAAGTACATACATTGCATAAATTTGCGATAATAACACATATATACAATGTACGTATGTAAATACACTGTACGTATTTATGTACAATATGTAAGAATGTTGTTTATAGGTACACTATATGTACATAGTTGCGTAAATAAAATGCATGCATGTATGAATGTACACTTACATGTACATAGATATATGGTTTGTACACGCAACATATGTACTTTGTAAATACATATGCGCATGTAATGTATGGATGTACAAAAAATGGTTGGATTTACAATGTACGTATATACATACAACGTATATATAAACGTAATTACATTTAATGTATAAATACATGCGTACATTTAAATATATGTATTTACAATGCACACATACATTGTGCATGCATTAAAAAAATTTATAACTGTAAAGTTATTAAAATTCGTTTTAAAATTTATTTTAAGGCATATAAAACTCAATCTCTTATTTTTTGGAAAGCAAACGATAATCTTATTTTAAATTCCTAAATATAATTTCCACATATAAAATTAACCGTTTTTTCCCATCTTGAAATTTCTATGAACTATGCATTATGTTATAACAAAATAAATAATATACAGAACCAGCATTCATCTGAAAAGATGACGTCATGCCATTCCTGCTTCCAGGCTCGTCGTTGCTTACTCAATAGGAGGCATTCCTGTCTGTGATGCAGCGTCAAGAGTAGCCGAAGTCATGGTCGCCGTGCTGATAGTCCGTGCTGCTGCAAACGTTGTCGAATTGCTCGTGCAGGCATTTATTGTCTTGCTAATTACTCTATTTGTTGACTCAGGTTTCGTGACGTAGCTGTACGATCATTTAAGGCCACGTGGATAACATGTCTGTATTCTCTGCTGTTAGTGATAGGGGGGCGCTGAGATCCTGTATAGTGTTCCATATGACAGTCATGATCAGATCGATTCCATATTCTGCTAACAGTCATGGAATCTCGACCAACGCGAGCAGCAATACTTCGGTATGATAAACAGCAATCCCCGTAGGCCACAATTCGACCTCGATCAAACTCAGACACCTGATGGTAGGCATTTCTTCTTCTTACACGAAGCATAACAAAAAAATTTTTACCCAAGAACAACGTTCAATTTCTGTATGAGAAACTTACTGTCAAATTTCTTCTTATACACATTGTAGGTGTCGCTACCGCCGCCTGCTTTGCATGGATGCGCTGATAAGCTAATCATTTGCATACCACAACATGCTTTATCCGTCCTGCAAACTTTCAGTTCGTGGTGTGTCGCCTTCGATGCCGGCGTTGCTCGTGAAACAGATATCCTGACTAAAAGAATGAGAATTTCGGGACTTTCCTTCATAATGGGTCCAGACGTTGCCTCTACACCGTTGTACCGGAATCGCCGTTAAAGAATTGATGTCTTCGCTGTTTTGGTTTCGTTTTCGCCTACCGTGTGTTACCATCAACAATTAGCTTCTTGCGGATTTACAGCAAGTGCTTGCTGTGTTGCCCTACTTGCTTGCTGCTTGTCGGTCTCATTGAGGATTGATAAAGGTTCAGCATATGATCGAATTGATTTCGTTTTCTGGCGATTTTCTCGAGTGTTCTGTGTTTCCTTGAACGGAAGATGACCAAAAATGTGATCTCAAGTGGTAGCTATGATTCCGCTCGCGTGTGCGCGTGATTCATCAAATATTAGAAGTGATTTATTGGTGATTAATTACAGATGTGATTGGTATTTACTCTCAAAAGTTTAAGTTTTTAAACGTGAATACTTTTGAATCATTTACGCTCATATATTGAAATAGGAACATATAATTTTATGTTTATTGTTCCAAATATTTATTCCGGTAATATTATATTTATCTATTAATATTTATATTTTGATAATAGTTCCATTTATTGATGCTATTATTCAATGGTTTATAATATTATTTGTTTAAATTAAATAATGATATTAAAATTTAGTGCTATCACATATTTTTTTTNAGTTTGATCTCTAATATGTTGTTTTGACATATATATATATATATATATATATATATCAGAGCTAATTTTCCATTATAAATATTTTGAGTCTTTTTACTTTGCTATAAATGCGTTGAAAAAAAAACATTTTGCCTCGAACTTTTCTAATTTGTCTTTTCTTCTGTCTCTTTTTTATTATATTTTTAGAGAAAGACCGAAAATTTTTAAGATTTGAAAAGAAGAGAAGAAAATTGCAACTTTAAAATTCATCCGAGTCTAATGCTTTATAAAGTTTTACAGTGTTTACAAAAAAATAGAACATTAAAATCTCTTTTTTACTTTTTATTGCTCATGACAAATAATATTGAAACAAACAATAAATCTCATGGTACTTTTTAAAAAAATCCTTTTCAATCACTCTGCTGCAAAATATTTTAAGATTTTTTTCTTCTTATCAAAGCACCTCTGGTGGTTATATTAAAGATTTAAAATATGATACTTTCACGAATAAAATCTCTTATATTATTCAAAGATATGCACGTACAATTAAGACCAGGAATTATTACAATTAAAAAAAGAACTGTTTTGAAAATTGACTATTGATTTTATTTTCCGAAAAGTAAATTGTAAATATGAAGCAGTAACCCATACCATATTACAAAAAAAAATGAAAAATTCTTTTGTACACACGATCTATCTGTGTTTAGTACACACAATCTGTCTAGATTTGAAAGAAGAGTGATAAAATGCCAAATGATATAACCCTAAAAAAGGAGAAACTAGATCAGTTGCAACGTTGCCATTTTGTAGCAGAAACTTGGTGGCAGAAATAGTATCTCATTTGGCCAAGTTCTTGATTTTATAGTAGAAGACGCTGCAATCGCTTGTTAGTGACGTCATATTGATGAAAATTCTCATTATTATTTATTGTTAGAGATGCATATAAGACTGTAAGTGATATATTGCTCTACCATGTAAATAATTAAGTCTGTACATACATTAAAAATCACTAAGCTGGTATAATTTTATTTGCATTAAGTAATATAAGAATTTATTGTGTGAAATGCAATTTATACAGTTCCTATCAAGGTTTTAAAAGCTTCCCGTAATTGTTTATAGCTAAGTGCCAAAGCAAACTACACTTACAAGAGTTTTGACTATGACAAAAGAGTTGTCTGGTAGGTAGAATTTTCTAACGCCACTTATTGTTATGCTGCTTTGACACTGCAGTTAGTTTACAAAGAGTGCAAGCGTTTGCATTATTTTAATCCTTGTAGCTATTTACTCATCTCTTTGAATCAGCGTTCATTTTTAACGTCTCTACGATTGTGTTAGGAGTATTGAATAATCATGTGGTGCTCTACTAGTGGTTATGGGAGTGATACTGCTGTTGAATTTATTGAGCCACGCAAAAATCAAATGTGTTCTCGCTGTAGTGAACATACTGTTTACTCGAGCTTGTTGCCTTGCCTTCATTCATTCTGTAAGTTTTGTTTAAATCAGCTTGCACACGATCGTTCATGGAATTTTTCAGAATTTATTGTTTGCCCAAGTTGTCATAAAAATGCATCTTTGCAAGAAGATTTTATCCCTGAGATAGCTAATGTTCAAGCAACCTTCCTTAACCACATGCTTAAACACCATCCATCCTTTAACACCATCATTAATCTGGTTGATGACTTTAGTGCCTATTCTTCTCCTGTTGATGAGCCTAGTTCATTATGTACATCTTGTGATGAAGGTAATAAAACAGTTGCACGTTGTAAAGATTGCAATGAAGTTCTTTGCGAGAATTGTGTCAGAGCTCATCAGCGGGTTCGTTTAACAAAAGATCATGTTATTGATACATTTTCGGCAAATTCTCCCGATTACCAGTTACCTGTCAGCTCATTACCAACAATTAAACAGTCAAATTTTTGTGATCTGCATCCCTCAAAAGTCCTCCGCCTGTATTGCGAGTTATGCAGGGAACCTTTATGCAATGAATGCATCATGGATGTCAATCATTCTGGGCACTCAATGAGCTATTTACAAGATGCAGTTGCTGATTGCAGGAAAGCAACTTTAACTTTGTTGGAAGAAGCAGCAAATAATAAAATTAGCTTAGAGGAAAGCATCCAAAGAAGTCAAAGATTGTCTGATGATGTTGAGCTTAAAATACAAAATGTTGCTACTGAAATCAGAACAACTGTTCGAAGACACGTGTCTGTTTTAGAGGAAAGGGAGCGAGAACTATTACGCCAACTGGAAAAGATAAGGCAAATTAAAGGTAGAGCAATTTTATTACAGACTAAAGATTTAAAGTCTCTTTTGAAGGAAATGTCACGAATAATAGAATTTATTCAACATGTATTAGACTCTGGTAGTGATATTGATATTTTAAAAGCAAAAGAAAAGTGCTTATTAGAAATAAGTGAATTAAGACAACGACGTAGTAATATGCAGTTTAATGAAGATGACAACGTAATATTTACGCAGCCTGACAATGCTCTGTTGGGTGCCATTAGTACCCTTGGGTTTCTAAGCACATCAGGATTTGGTCCTAATTCTGTTGCTGCTGGTGAAGGTCTCCAACAAGCCCTTTGTGGTCACCAGTCAACATTTTTGGTCCAAGTAAAAGATTATTTGGGTGAGCTTCAAGTAGTTGGAGGTGATATCTTGAGTGTGAATGTCCAGTCACCTGATGGCACTAATTGCAAAGCACATGTCATTGATCGCCAAAATGGTACCTATGCTATCTGCTATGCCCCAGAAGTTGTTGGCCAACATGTAATATCTGTTTTATTACGTGGGATGCATATTCAACAGAGTCCTTTCCACGTTAATGTTCGTATGGGACGCAATTATAGCCAAGTTGGAAAAGTCTTGCTTTCTTTTGGTGGTGAAGGAGATAGTGATGGAAAACTTTGCAGACCCTGGGGAGTTTGTACTGACAAAAGTGGAAATATTATTGTAGCTGATCGAAGCAATAACAGAGTACAAATTTTTAATCCTGATGGTACCTTCAAATTTAAATTTGGTTCTCCAGGTCAAAGACCAGGGCAATTTGATAGACCTGCTGGTGTTACTACTGATCATCTAAATAGAATTATTGTTGCAGATAAAGATAATCATCGAATTCAGATTTTTGATGGAGACGGGAATTTTATTCTTAAGTTTGGAGAAAGGGGAAGTAAGAATGGACAATTCAATTATCCATGGGATGTTGCTGTTAATGCTGAAGGGCACATCTTGGTATCAGACACTAGAAATCATAGATTACAACTTTTTGGATCTGATGGATCTTTTATTAACAAGTATGGTTTTGATGGTGGTCTGTGGAAGCAATTTGATTCTCCTCGTGGAGTGAGTTTTACATCAGATGGTCATATGGTTGTAACTGACTTTAATAATCACCGTATTCTTGTGGTTCATCCAAATTTTCAATCGGCAAGATTTTTAGGGCAAGAAGGTTCAAACAATGGTCATTTCTTAAGACCTCAAGGAGTAGCTGTTGATCCAGAAGGGCATATTATTGTTGCAGATTCAAGGAATCATCGCATTCAAATTTTCCATCCAAATGGACATTTTCTCTGTAAGTTTGGAACATATGGAGTGGGACCTGATCAGATGGATAGACCTTCAGGTGTATGCGTTTCTCCTGAAGGCTATATTATTATAGTGGATTTTGGTAACAATAGAATTCAAGTATTTTAAGAAGTTTTGTATCAAGATGCTCTGATACCTATAACTGATGACCTCTGTAGCATTATATAGCTCAGGGAATGGGTCTTCAAAGCATTAAAATATTTTAGAGGTGCTTAGTTTAATAAGTTCCTTTTTAACTTTTTTTATAGCGTGTGATAAGATTTTATACCTCGCTACTAAAGTCATTTCATGACAATTTTCTTCTACCTCAAATTAAAGGAATTATAATTTTTTCTTTGAAAATTTTACTGCATTGCTGCATAGCAGTTGCAATTTGTTATTTTCGTTACTTTAGTTTTCTAATTTTACTGTACTCTTTAAGCATTTACTATTAATCGTGCATTTATGTCGACGAATTTTCATTAAAATGAAGTGGAGTTTTGACATGAAAATTGTCATAAATGTGACTAAAATTTTGCAAATGGTACATGTTCCTAAATTGAAGCACTTAAAAGTGTGTGAAGCAAAATGTTTAAATTTGTCTTGTGATCGAGTGTAGAGTATATATATTTATTTATGCTGATAGTTTAGTCATATCTGCTTTAAAACTAAATGTAACTACAGTAACATTAGTTTGTTTTTAAGAACAATTTGACATATGATATTAGAAAGTAGCAGTTTGCTAAATGTTATCTGATCAATTATGAAATCTGCAAAGTAATATCTACCATATTTTGTTTTATTGCTGATATTGAATTAAATTTAAATTTATTTTGAATAAAACTTCTTTTTTTTTTTTCTTTTAAGAATTGTATAATTCAGGGCCGTAGCTATAAAGTGAAATATAGGATGAATAAACCAGTCCCCGAAACAAAATTTACCAAAAGAACCTGCCAATAAATTTTTAAATAAGTTTTTAATATTTTCATTTTAAAGTGTGGACAATATACAAAGTGAAATTAAAAGTTTGTCTACTTTATTTCATTTTAACTTTTTAGAATGCTAAGCTTTACAATTGTCCCTATAGCAATAAAAAAAATTTTTAGTTGCTCTAATTGTTATAAAGTATTGCTCTTTATATCAAAATATCTTTTTTTTTTTAAAGACTTTATTAGGATAAATTATTCAAACAATTAGGGAAGATATGGTGATAATGAATTAGAATATAATTTATAAAAGTTAGTATAACTGACTGGTTATAATAATTTTCTTGTGAATAAAAGAACCTGATATAAAGTATCGCGAATTTTATATGTTGGTGAGTGCAAACTTTACCCAAGAAATAGTTTTTAATTAACTTTTTTATCTTAAGTTGAGAATAAATCACTAACTACTCTATAAAATTTTGCAATCTTTGCCTTAGCTAAGAAATGTTAATATTTATATTTCCATATTTTAAATACGCTTGATTATTTTAACCTTTTACTAAATAAAATCCTGGCTGCGGTCCTGGCATAATTATTTGTTACAACTTATTCATATGAATGAGATATGTCTAAAATATTTGTTTTTAAAGTTTATTTAGATTTGTTGAACTATTTGAATATTATTTATAAAGGTGCATCTAAAGTATCGATTATATGTACCTGCAATGATTTTAAATATTCAGTCTTCAGCTTTTGTGTTTTTTTTTCCCGGTGTAGTACCATTTGAAAGTTTTGTGATATTAAATTACATAATTAAGATTTAGTTTAATAAAATATTTTATGCATAATTCCATTTAAGTCACTTTTAGAATTCATTAACCAATAATATCAATATTTAAAAACTATAATTAGAATTTTTGTTTGCTTTAGTTATTTATTAGGTTTATAGTTTATTTTTTTAATTTAGTTATCTTTCTATAAGTATATTTACTGTCAATAACTTAAAACTTATTACTTTTTTTAATATAAACTTTTAATGTTATTTTTGTTCTGTGTTTTAGCTAAGAACAGAATTCTTCTAGTGAGTATTGTTACTAGAATGAAATTAGTTTATGTGATAATTTTTGTTGCTGAATTCATTTTAGCAATAAATCTTTTTTTCTCTAAGATATTTAAAACAGTACAAATTCTAATTCTTATTTTTGATTTAAATGTAAAATTATATTTTAATACCCTTGTTTATCTTGCCAGTAAACTTTTTATTATATTTTAATATCCTTGTAAAAATGTCAGTAAACTAAGTCGAATTTAGATGGCTGAAATGCTTTGCTTTCATATCAATGCATATTAAATTATAATTGAATGTTACTTACTACAAAATTTAGCATACAGGTAGGGTTATAGTAAACAAATAATTGATTTAAATAAACTTATGTAAAATTATTTTACTTTTAAAATAATGTGATTCATATTTTTAAAGCTAGATTTCTAACATAAAGATATGTTTCATGGAAGATAAATTGGTTTTGTAGCTATGTTCTTTTAATTTTTTTTTAAGGAATTACAATATTCCTAGATTGTCTTGACTGAATGGTTTTTCTTTTGAGTGTGCCTCTCATAGGATTTTGCCAGCATTATACGTGTATTTAAGAGAAACTCTATCAGTCCGAATTGATTATATTTTAGATTAGTTATTTAGGTTTGTGTAACAATATTCATTTTAAATGACAAATTATCAGTTATGTTGGTATAAATTATCGCAGAAAGAGAGTTTTCTGATTTGAAAGTAGTGCTATCCTAATGATTAATTCATAGTTTTAAAAAAAAAAAATTACGAAATAAAATTACCGATTTTGGCATGAAAGAAGTAAATTATGTCCTTCTAATAAATTATTTTTAATCGGTCATACTCTTCTATTTTAAATAAATGACCCAGAATATCTCTTGGAATGGGATAATTTCTGGTCACCTATTGGGTAATTGCTGTTCACTTACAAATTTAATATAAATATTTTTTTCTTTTTATTTGCTACTTCAATTTATTAAACCAATAAAGCTTATTTTCATCATATGTAGACATTAATAATATTATGTTTATAGAGTTTATAACAATATTTTTGAACTAAATATAAATTTATTCACATTCAGCAAAACTTTAGCCTAGGTATTTTTTGTGCATTTTGTATACATATCTCTGGCTTCCCTGTCTATTGTGATTTAATCTACACCTTTTAAAGTAATTGGCCCATAAAAGAATGGAACAAATGTTTACTGTCAGTATTTCACCTACAGGGTTGGAACAGCTGCGCAATTGCTCCAAAGGGAAACTTCTCCTAAATGCTGTTTTTTTCTTTTTTTCCTTCTAAAAGTAGAACAAATGCTAATTGTCATTATTCAACCTACAGGGTTGGAACTGTAGTGCAAAATTCTTCAAAGTGAAACTTTTGCTTCTCCTACATGCCCCCCCCCCTCTGCCAAATTGCACTAAACTGCTTCTGAACTCTAATACTATTAATTGTGCAAAAGGTAAACTTTGGCAAAAAATCAGGTATCACAACATCAAATCAAACTTAGTAAACTATCAATACATGACAACTTTTTTCTCAAATAGAGTGTGACAAAAAGACCTAAAATTTGAAGTATGTGTGTCACAGTAGCATTGTATTTAAAATATTGGAATTTTAAAAAAATAGTAGAAATAATCATAAAAAATGTGGTATATAATCTAGAGTGGTTTTTGCATAAGTCATTAACAAATTATTACTCAAAACAAATTTGCATGTAATAACAATTAATAATATCGTAATTTTAAAAAATCACATGTAGAAAAACTATAAGAAAATGACGTAGATTAACAATGACTCAGCACATAATTAGTGCTTTTAAAATATCAGAATTTGAAAAACTTTATCAAAGTGTGAGAAGAAATTGTAAATTACCACCGAAAACAATCATATGACGTGTATTTAAGATTAAATTGCTGCGAAACAAATGCATCAGAAAGGGAAAATTTGAATTTAAAATTTGTGTGTTTAATAATAAATATATTGGAAAATAAAATATTAAATATAAAATATTGGAATTTGAAAAACCCTGCAGGAATGGCCAGAAGTAACTATGTGCTGTAAATGCTATCCAAAAACCATGGGAATTTACTTTGAAATCATCTAGAATTAAGTTTTTTCCCTCCCTCTTCAATATAGTGTGATGCATAATCAAGATCTTAGAGTAGGTAATGAGAAAAAATTTTCATCAAATGAGCAAACAAGGCTATGCGTGCCACAAACTAAAACAGTTAATATAGCCAAATATAAAAATTATTGGTTCCAAAAATCACATTTATTTGCTCCAAAAACACATTTTTTCTGCACCAAAATAGCTGCTGTTTCATTTTTGTATACAATTTTGACCTGTATAATTTACCTGCTCTTTCCAAGAATGCTCTTCACTCCTTGTTGCTCTGGTGACTTATTTCAACTGAAAAGAGAACTATTTAAAACTTAGTTGTGAGAATGATCTTTGTTAAAATGTATCCTTCCCTAGGCCAGTATTATTTTATAGAAATTTATTTAAGATTTAAATTTTTTTTAGACTTTATAAATATTGATCTTATAATTGAATCAATGATTTTAATGTTCAGAGTAATGTATTCTAATGTTCGAATAGTTCAGGGTATCTCTTTGATATTTTTTTTTTTTTTGAGAATTTTTCCAAGTATATTAAAAAGTTGTGACCAGGAGTTGCTTTGAAAGTTTATTGACCAGGAATTATCCAGGTAACATTGCTTTTTTTTTTCATATACCTAATGTTTTGTTAGATTTTAGAAGTATATGTGATCTTTATTTTTTGTTCTCGATTTTTTAGAAAGTTATTTGGATTAACATCTCATTTTATATAGTTTAAAATATGATTAATGTGTTGTAATAGATTTATTAAAATCTATTGCCAGTGTTATAAAACTGAAATAACTCGTACCTCTTTTTATAAATGCAACAGACCAATAGCAGAACCACCTAATTTATCTGCAACATGCAAGGAAAAATTCTAAAATTTATCACATTTGTATTCAAATGATGTACTTACTAAGTTCACCAATATTCAAAGGCAATGTCCAATACAACAATGCATGATAAAGTATCTACGCTACTAAAAAATGTCCTTTATTAACTGAAGTTTAATTAAAGAAGATGAAAAACTAGCTATTGCATGAAAGGCCAATTTATTTTAGTTTTACTTAACTTTGCTTTATGTTTGTGTATAAAGCAAAAATAAGTTGGCAGTACTCTTAATTTTTAAAAGTGGTACATACCTTCATCCGGTTTCAGTTGGTACTCTACTTTTAAAGCGATAGATATTCATGATCCAGTTTGACAGTCTCAATATATTTAGCATTACATTTTTAATTATGAAATATTTTTATATTTGGAACTGATCTGTTATGCGTTTGCGACAGTTGTTTGCTGATTTTTTTTCTCGCCAACCACTTTTAACACATTTCTATTAATGCCACTTTCATCACGTGCAGAACGTAGACTATTGCAATCCTAAAAAATTCAAAATTTTCTATGTATAATTCTCATTTTTTAACACAAAATATACATTAAAAACAGCAGATCTATATCTATTTTCTTCTGAGTCGATAGTTTTGTTACCTGCTGCAAATTTCATGAAAAATTTCTCAATAGACGCACACAAAACTATTATTTTACAAACTAAACTTTTTTTGTTGTATCTCTTCTGCAATATGTAAGCTCAAAACTATTATTTAATGAAACAGGATTATAAAAAAATGCAATATGAAACTCATTAAAGTTACTAATAAAATGTGATACCTATTTCTTTTCTTCAAAATCATTGAAATTATCATAGAGACTTAAGACTTTAATCATAGTCTTAACAGATGCACTTCAATGAAAAATTGACTTCATGTCATATTAAATCTTTTCTTATTCAACGAATTTACTTATTAATGCATAACGCAGCTATGTCAATCTTCTCAGGCTCTATTTAAACAAATGAGCTTTAAACCAAGCTGGTGGATTTTACATTTCACTTAAAACCAATTCTGTGCAAAACTTCAAAATTGTTTTAAACATTCTTAATTTATCCTGGCAATGTAGATGATTGAAGAAATCCAGGCAACCCCAAATAACATCTGTCATCAAACCTAAAATAAACACAGGTGACGATTTTGCACATGCTTGTCTCTTTAAAGCTTATACGAAAATCTACTAATCAGAGCAATCCGGCAATTCCTTAACCTTAAATAACGGTGTAGTGGATTGCATACAATCGCACTTAAACTTAACAATCACAAGTACAATCTAGTCTACACAGGCAGTTATCGCTAATGTTTTCAAGAAAAAAAAATTATTCTTAGGAGGTGGCTGTTGGTTGAGCAAGAGATTTTTTGATGTTTGATGACAAGGTCTTTTGGACTTGGTGTAGGCTTTCCTACACCAGGGGGATGAGTAACAACAACAGAAAAATGTTTGCAAAAACTGGCGTAGATTCATAAAAAATATCTTAATTTTTTCAATTCTAATAATTTAAGATATTATAAGAGTATCTTGACCATTTTAACAAAACTTCTCGGTCTAGGCGTCATTTTCTGAGGTTTATTTTTCTCACTTGATACTTATTAAAAAACAGTCTTTGTTATAAGTTCTTCCTTAAAATTAAGTAAACTTAAAACTGTTAATAACTATAACGAAAATAAATACCTGAAAGTCATAGTAAACATACATTTAATGTATGTTTAATATTAAGTAATTAAATATGAGATTTTGCCATCTTACTAGTTTTTAAGTGTTAAAATGTTTTTAAAATCTATGCCATTATCTACTTATGCTGGTAGATCACTGATAGCTCGAAAAATATTGTTTTGAATATTTGTTTTTCTTTGACTTAAACTGATATTTTCTAGACCAGCATGTTATTGTGGTCCTATTTCATATAACTCTATTTTATGCATTTGAAAAACATTACTCAAATCTTGTTCAAAAGTTTTTCTTTGTTTCTGTTTTATTTTTACTTTTTAAAGTTATAAATTAACACTTTTAGTTCTATTAGCTTAAAATATTATGCTAGTCAACTCAGTAAAATTGAAGATAATTTATCTTGGAAAATTTATTTTCCTGAAGGAAAATCAAATTTAGTTTATTTTTAAATGTGTGTATCAACTACTGCAACTTATCTTCAAATAACTTTAAACGAATTTAAAAATATTGCTATTCTAATACTGTTTAAAAGTATTTATTAATTTTCTACCAAGTGGACTTGATGTTAGAATTTTTTTCTTTCTCATATGAAATATCTTTTTATTTGACTATATGTATATTAATAGCTGAAGACTAACTATGAAAATCATTATCTTTATTTTTTGTTTTTCCATCTCTTTTTTTTTTTTTTTTTTTTTTTTTTTTTTTTTTTTTTTTTTAGTGAGTTAAGACAAAAATATATTATTATTTTTTCATACGAAATCTAAAATACTAGTCTTAAATTTCATTTTTGTTTTCAATTTTAAACATAGATTTCATAATCTCTATCACCAAAGGTTTCATTAATAAGTAGGATGCTCAAACCTATATCTTTCTCAAAAGGTTAAGCTTTTTGATTCACTGTGATAGTTTTTCAAAAGACTGGATACTGAACATGCAGATGTATATTTCTTTTCAGTCTTCTTGAATTTGTTCATAACTAAAACAAGCCAGGGTGAGGCTTAAACTGCACCAATCAAAATAGCTTTAGATATTTTATATTCTCCCCTATGCTCTTTTAAATGTGTCTAATCTTTGCATTTTCATCTATGTTTCTGTCTTATGTGTTTGAGCCAAAGTTGCAATTTGGTTCTCTAACTGCCTGGAATCAAAAGTTCAAAACTATAACAGATATACATTTTAATCAATCTGAATTGTATACGTATTTTGGATATTACTTTGTGTCTTTTCTAATTAGTGAAATTAGCACTTGTCAAAATATAGGAATCTATACATTTTGTTTTGAATCAAAGATGGATTTATAATTGAATCAATGTGGATATTATTTTGAAACAAGTTCCCATTCCTACTTTAATTCGTAACTCCATCTTTGATAAGATGTCTAAAGTTACCTTATAAAGTACTTTAGGCCTTCTTGTTTATATGTATGTATAATATATGTATGTATAATATATATATTATATGTATGTATAATAATATGTCTATGCATATATTGTTTAAATACAGGTTAAACCAATTTTTTAGTGATTGTGTGTTTTGTTATACATGTAAAATAAATGTTTAGTGTTGTATAACTCACTCATACAATGGTTTTGAACCTATTTCGTGTAAGTTATCTTACTGCTAAATGTTCCTATTACTGTAAGTGATTTGTGAGTGATGGATATGGTTTTATTCCCTGTATTTTTTAGTCATTTTCTCAGGGATTCAGTAATTTATATTGTTTTGGGTAATTTTATATTTTTATTTTTAAATGTTCATTTTTTTATAAATTTAAATAGAATATATTTCAATTTTATGTTATGTTTTTTTTTCAATGCAATTTTTTAAGCCTTGGGTTTCAAAAACTTAAATTTACTTATTTCACTATAGTTATTTTTTTAATATGTTTAGACTTTTAACTAGTTTTTATCATCATATCCTCATTTAATGAGGAAAACTATGTTAGAAGTATACACACAAAGCTTAAACTATTTTACATAGTCATTGATTATAAAACATTAATGAATGACTTACAAGGACTTTGTCATATCATTCTGCCGTTAATATGTAACATAATCAAAGATTGTAAGGTGTAATATGTTTTAAACATAAATATTGTATTTCTCAGCTCAAAGTCAACCTTAGTGTTAAATGCCACCTAAGAGAGGGCTTTTACTTTTAATGCTGCATTATTTTCCAGGAAATATATGAAGCCTTTATAAATATACATTGTTCCTATAAATGTGATTACTAAAAAATATTCTTTGTCAGTTGCCTTGATAGTATGAGATAATAGTGAATTCATTCGAATGTAAATATCTTTTACATGATATCAAAGAAAAATGAACAATTGCAAATATCAAAATAAATCAGAAATTATGGTTTAAGAATCTTGTAAGAAATTAAACATTTTATACTGATTGCTATGAACTGCTTGATTGGAATATAGGCAAAATAAATAAAATTTTTAATGTTTTTGAAAAAAATGTATCTTGTTTTGTACAACAAAATTGTATCATTGTTTAGTACAACCAAAATATTTTGTTATAAGTACCAAAGTATTAAGACTTATTTCAATATTTTAGAATAGAATGAACAAAATGATTCTAACACCTCATTTTTTTAAAAATGCTAGTAAAAATGTATCTGTTATAAATCTATTAACAGAAATTCTAATGAATACATATGTGCATCATCTAAATATTTAGTTATACTGTTTCATTTTCATATTTTTAGTTATGATGTGAATGCACTTAGTTAGCTTTATTTGAAAAATTGTTTAGTATTCATTATAGTTAGAAAGAGTAAAATCTAGTCAATTAAATGTTTAAATTTTCTTATGCATTTTTACTTTTTTAGAGAAAAATATTATTTTTTTTTTTTTTTTGCAAATTGCTAGATGATTATCTGTTTCTAATCTGGATGCTTCTTTACTTAAAACAATTTTTGGAACCATGCGATAAATGTACTTTTTTGTATACTCGGCTGGATTCGAGTAAAGTTTCTCAAGTTAAGCCTGACTAAAAGCTAAGATCAATCCAAATGATATATTTCATGAGATGATTGTAAGATTAATGGCCTTGCAGTTCAAAACTTAAATGATTTTATGTGTAATATCAATGCTTCTTGTCCAAGTTTCAAAGTCATACTGTTGAATTAGTAATTGAAAAGTTTGTTTAAATATGAAAACTATAATCACTTTTGCATAGCAAAAAAAAGCATTCACACAACAGCCCGTTGTGGGCCAGGGGTCATGGAGGTTAAGGCTCAACAATTTTGTGACCAACGGCATGATTGTGTCAATGATGCCAGCACTGCGCATGGGCCACCTTTACTTCCCAGATAGGCTGGTACCCATCACTCTAAAGCTGGGTGGGCTTCAAGCCGCCACTGGGGATCGAACCAAAGTTCTTTAAAATGAACAGTTCAGTGCCTTAACCACTGAGCCATCGCGGCTCAATCACTTTTGCATAAATCTGGAGATTGGCACAAAATAGTGACAATTTGCTGAATTACTTTGGTATGTATTCGAGTAATTAACATCTGCTGAGAAATTGAAAGCTTCCTTATGTGATTTCAGTATTTAAATATAATTTTAGATGAATAATATATTGCTATTTCAATTTAGATTGTTCGATTATTGCAATAAGATTAAGGGCCATTTCATGGTGGCAAGCACACACTAAAATCTGAAAGATTTTACTACAAATATCTTCAGGCAAACCTATGGCTGACACTTCGGATATTTTTAAGTATACTGCAAAAAGAATCTCACGTGATGCAGTAAGAATAGCTTTAAGAAAACTCAGGATTAAGTTATATTTTCAGTCAGTTTTGCAAATATTTCAGTTAATTCTTCAATATTATTTTTAGTCCATGATAAATATTCTGGTATTCTCAAAAACTCAAGAATGAGCAATCAATGTTATGAAATCATGCACGATGACTTGCGTGATTTTAGGTGAACCTGATTGATCGCTTTAGCATGACATATGTATTAATTGTAGTGATTGAACACATTTGAAATTTCTACTCGTAGAATGGCCTTTAGCATTACTTTATAATTGATTCATGAGTCCTGTGATAGCATTTGTGTAAAGTTAAAAATTGTAGTCTTATAATTAATGGTCTTTTAAGGCTAAAAGTTGGTTGGTGTTAGAATTGTTTTGTCTATTTTTTTGTATTGAATGATTATCTACTTTTTGTGCTATATGATCATTTTCTCATAAAAATTTTTATTTTGTGTGTCATACTTAGTCTAATCAAAAAAAAAAAAAATGTTTAATTTCTCTCATTTGTTATAGGAAATAAATATTTCCATACATTAACATTTCTTGAAATTGTTATTGCCTTATTTAAAAGTGTATTTTCTGCTTACAATGTATGTCATCGAATCTGATTTTCTAATTGATAAATCATTATGAAAACTTAGGGTAACAAAAACATATTTCGTTTTAGTTATATTAACATGTATAATACATATATTTTACAAGTTTTTGTGA